ACCTTCATCGGTGTCTTTCTTGTCGATTAGGAGCGACCGAGTCGGGGTTTAGTGGTCGAAGATGAGAGAAAGGAGTAGATCGAGAAATGGAAGTTTCCTTTCCTATAGGTTTGTTGTCGCCCTTTGGGAACGACTGATGGGGAAGAAGATCGGAATGGCGGCGGATGAAGAGAGGAGAAGGAATAGGGTTTTGTTTTCTAGAGAGAAGGAACGAAACGAGAGAGAGAGATGAGGTGAGCGGCGGCCGCTGATTTTTGTTTAGGGTCGATTTTGTCTTAGAGATATTATATACCCAATGGTCAAAATGACCCTTTGCCCCTTAGGGTTTCTGGAAATTAACGGGGCCTTGCCATCGCTTTTTCGTGAAAAAGTACCACCATGCCCCGCTTTGTCAAAAACGAAATCACTATATTATGACGAACATGCCCTTTTTCAGCTCATCGTGAGATTATTGCTATCTATTATGACAAAATATTTTGTCATTTAAACAATTCAAAATTTAAAAAAAAAAATTGTAAAAACAAAACAATTCAGGAAGGCATAATATGACAAAAGCTACTATGACGATATAATATGTCACTTTTGTGCTCTTACATCCCGATATGGAGATGCATATTTTGACAAAATTAATTGTGACACGAAATATTTGTCACATTACTCACTTTAAATGATGAACTATTCTGACAACAAGAGATTTGTCACTGTTGAGTCTCTTACATCCCGATATGGTACGCCTATTTTGACAAATTTAATTGTGACACGAAATATTTGTCATAATACTCACTTTCTGACAACAATTTTTTGTCACATTAGGCATACCTAATTTGTCATATATCATTTTTGTCATATCATCATACCTATTATGACAAACAAAAAATAAAAAAATTAATTTTTTGTCCTAATAGGCCAAATTTGTTGTAGTATTAAATCTTGTTAAGATGCTATGAGTTGTTCTACTTTAGACATGAATTAAAGGTATTTATTAACTTATCTAAATTCTGGGCACTCATATTTTACAAAGTATATGTCGCACTTAACATATTTTTAGCCATTTTACACTATGCGTCAAAAACTTACGTTTTTACGCTTTAATTCTACGTTTTATGATTTTACCCATTTTCCGCTTTTAGATAGAATGGCCATTTTAACTGCATTGTTTGCAATCATTTGCTTTCAGCTTTATTTAAAATACAGAAATATTTTCTGCAGCTGAAACTTTAGTTATTGTTCCATCACATCACCAGCGAACCATTATGACTCTAATAGTGTATCCAACTACTAACTGCCAATATAAAAATTGCATCCACTATCCACACACGTATTCCATGAAATGCACCAAGTAAATCACGTTCAAGTGTCCACACCTCACAATTGAGGACGATTTCATCAGTGTTGAGATCGTCTTCCCGTCATCACAGTTACGAACGATTGTTGGATCTGTATTCAGTCCTGCAGATGTTGTCAATGATAACTATATGGCACTTCTGAACATGCTTGGAGGACAGACATTCGAAGTCATGGTCACAGTCAGTTCCTAGAACAATGCATTTTGTTATTGTGAATTTGTGTTGGTGAAATTATTTTTGCCTTTGGAGAACTGAGTACCATGTCATGAACAATAAGACAATGTCTTAAGTTTTTCTATTTTGGACCTTCATGTTATTTGTCGTAATACTCAACTAGATTAGATTTGCGATGAGTAAAATTTTATAAGTATTTTATCTTGATTAGCTAATCTTCAAATGTATCCTCCTCATGCTTACAATACGTGTGTGAATGGTATGCTTTTTCCCTTAATTAAAGAATTACTTTGTTTTTAACTTATTGTGAATGTTCATTCAAATTACATGTTCGTCTTCAAAGAATTGCAAAATTGCAACAATCTTATGATAATATAAAACATGACTCATTTCTCGATACTAACATTATAGATATCGTAACTCCATTTTCCTTAAACAATTACAACTAACGGGCCGGGCTATAGGCTAATTATGTAATATAAAAGTTAGAAAACCTTCTAAACATAGTATTACAAGAATGCTAATGAAAATCTTTCACTAAAATAGATAAATTAGTAAAGTAATAAATGAATATCAAGAAGGAATAATAAATATACTAGAAGATAAAAATAAATATTTAAAATAAATATTAGAAGATTTGGTTAAACTCATAATCCAATTAGAAGAACCACTAAAAAAATAGTTAAAATATAACCTAATCTACCAAAGATATATCAAGACCAAAGAATAATAAATGGAATATAATAAGAAAGAATAAAACATATTTCAGTATTAAAAAATGTAGAACAAATCTACAACATTTAGTTATAAATTAAAAAAGAAAATATGATATAGGAAGAGAATTATAATTAGTAAAGTTAACTTATATGGAACATCTATAATATAATATTACAGAATTACAAGGCGATTTAACATGAAAAATAAGACAACATCAGAATGATGTAAGAGAACTAAAAATAATATCCTCAGATTATTTATATCGATACTGAATTCATAGGATATATTTGTTTCAGGAAATAATTCAACTATTAGAACACATAATGATAATTGAAAATACTTATATAGACCGTTTGGTACCAAATGAATCGATAATTCATTTCATTGTAAAATGAATTACCGTGTAGAATTCATTGTCAAATGAAATCCTATGTTTGGTATGATATATTGAAATCATTGAAGTGTTGTGTAGAATCCATTGTCAAATGAATTTCTGTGTTTGGTATGTCATATGTGTTAGTAATTTAATTGATAAAAGAAGATAATGATGTCATTCTATTATAATTAGTAAATACTTGTGAAATTCATTTGGAAATTCTATCTCATTTCTCCGGAATTGCTATAACTAGTTCCAATTCCGCAGAATTGAAAATTTAGAATTGAAAATGAATTCTTCTTAATACCAAACACAAAAATATTTCATTTCAAAATGAATTCCTCAAAACTTATGGAATTCATTTATACCAAATGGTATGATAATGATAATTGATTCTAAATTTTATTTAAAAATTAGTTTGTATTAGATTTTTCAAAGAGGATTCCAACCAATCAATAAAAAAATGATGTTTTTCATAAGTCCGAAGGATTTTTACAATAAGGACCAATTCTGAACTTTAGAAAATAGAATATTCCAAGAATATTCTGTCAACTTTAACGGAATGCACTTAACAGTAAACTTAAGTGGTATCGGATGCACATATAATTGAATTCAGTGGCACGCGAAGCCCTATTTTTACTTAAGTGGTATAGCTCTCCCAATTTTCATACTTAGTGATATTCGAGATATTTTACCCTGCATTTATATTCGGACACTCCCATATAATTACATATCTAACAGCATACTTGTAAATTGTTGTCTTTATATATTGCATGTTGAGAGTCGGGTCATCTATTTCCTAACCCTACACTTTTTTTCAAATCATATATTGAAACAATGCTTCTAATTATAATATACATTGATTAAATACATCAATTTAAAGAATCCTAACTTCCAAACATGTCGTACATGTTCAAGGGATACATAGGGAAAATTGTTCAGAGTAGGAAAAAAACTTCCCTAGATCGTGTTCCATGGAAGTCTTTGTTGGTCTCTCTCTCCAAATCTCTGGTCATTCATGATCATGGAAGAAGCACATCATGAAAGAATCAAAGATAATTCATGATCATTGACCGAAATAAATAAACATGAAACAAGAAATTATTGAAGCAATAAAAGGAAAACAGAGATATGCATTCACATTATGCAACTTGACTATCCTCCTAACTGGGAAAATCGTGAGGACGTCCTCACCCAGAGACAGAGAAAAAGACTTTTAGGGCGAGTGATAGAGAGCTTCGGCAGAGAAGCCCACAATAGAACATGATCATAACAGAGAAGTGATGCAGATCAACTTCTCGAACTCGCATTCAGGTTGGCTTCCTACCATTTGCAGGGAGTTTTGTTCATTGTGTTAAGGGCTTAGGGTTTATTGAATACAAATTGGGGGGGTGTTTGTTCGAGTTCGTATACATGAAAAATGAATGGTGCAGTTGTTAATGTGATTGCCCTTGTGGGTTTTGCTGGAGATTTTGGGTTGATTGTGGCTAGTGGCTTCTTCTCGCTCCCAAACCCTAATAATGATTGAGTGGAATCACAGTGACCAGTTCTATAATCTGTGTTTTTCATTGGAGTTTGTTCAAGTTATAGAATGTATGTGATGTGTGGTGTTATGTAATGTTGGTTGCACAATGAATACTAATTGTTTACATGATGAGTATTAGTTGTTACATGTTGGTATTAGTTGTGACATGTTGAATATTAATTTTAATATGTTGAATAATATTTTCCTGCAAATGTATAAATACCAATGTTCGTATGATGAATACTAGTTATAACATGTTGAATACTCACTACACCCATAGTTTCAGAATAGTAGTTGTTTCATGATGATACCTTCACAGCCTGCAAGTTGTTTTGTTTAGTTGTTCATCACTTAAGGGGAGGGAACACAATACATGCAACAAAGAAAGAATCTTAAATACATCATCAACTATAATGGACATCAAAAGAACTACCTAAATAGATTATCTTTCTCAACCACACTATGTCTGCTCGCACGTAATCCGCATTCACGAAGCACAACACCATCATAATCGAACTCTTCCCACTCAACCTGACTTATAGTTAGGAACTTCTCATGCCATTTATATAGTTTGAGAAGAAAATATCATACATTGTGGGAAGAGGGGATGATGCTTATATATATATATATATATGAATGCATGCATATATGGCTTATTCACATATTGACCAACGCTATTCACATTTGTTTATCAGTGTGCATTAATTTTTTAATTTGGTCGATTTCGATCATGTACATATTTGTATATGACTTTTCCGTTCGGGAATATTTTTGGAAAAAAATCATAAAAAAACTCATATTAACATAAAATAAAATAAAAAGCCACAAAACGACTTTCCTTGGAAGACAATCCAACCCAACCCTTCCCCACTGTTTCTTAGTTTCTTTCTTCTCTTTTTCTAACTTATCTCTTCTCCCACTCCGACTCTCTCTCTCTCTCTCTACCTATATATTTTTCTATTCCCCAAATTTGTCCCATACCTCCTCTCGCTCTGAAACCCTTGGCCCAGCATAATCTCTCTGCATCGTCTCAGCTTCAATCCACTCGGTAGGCAATCGGAGAACGAAGTGTAATCGAGAGGGCGTCTCATCCAGCATTTGTTTCACTTCCAGTCCAATCTCGCTTTCGCCGATTTCTCCACCCACATGGCATCTGGATCGTCGGGTCGACCCAGCTCGGGTTCCAAGGGATTCGATTTCGCCTCCGATGACATCCTGTGCTCTTACGACGACTTCGCCAATCAGGAATCCTCCAATGGAACTCATTCCGATCCCATCCCCGCCTCCAATCCCTCCAAGGTTTCCATGCTTACCCTTTGGATTGACCTGACCTACTTTATTCTTCGCCTCCTTTATTCGATAAATATACATAGAATGGATATTGCTGAGTCATGCGGTGTTTGTATATATTGTCGCCTTTTTTGTTCTGGGTTTTTGTCTAAATCAATCCTGGTCGATTCTTTAGATGTCTGTTGCGAGAGCGTTGAATTTGTAGGGCGAGGGTTTTGAGCTCCAGCTCTGGAGAACTTTATTTCCGTGATTAACTGATTGGAGGAATTTGTTTGATTATCTATGTCCGGTATCTCTGCTTCTTTAGGTACTCTTCTAGTTAGTAAATAGACTGGCTTTGAGGTATCTGGAAGTTCTCTAGTTTATGTAGATGTTCGATCTATGCGATTTACCTGTTAGTAGAGGCTGTGCCTTTTATGTTCAGTGCACATCGATTGCTGAAAGTTTATCTTGGGCGTAGCAGTCATCTTGTGGATTGATTGGGCTGTAGTAAAAAAATTCTTGTGGAATGTCTAGTTTGTTGGTTGGTAGACATCTCCAACTTTTCTGCAGCAGAAATGTAAACGCTAATGGTTGTTTGTAGAGAATGTTATTCACCCAATTCAATGGCTGAACACGTTATTATGTCTGCAGAAGTTTATGTTGTTTCTTTTCTTTGGGTGTGCTTGGGTTGATATTAGTCATGCAAATTGATGACTTATGTCCTACTTTAAGCAGGGTTTTGAGAAAAACAGGTTGTCTAGGACATCTGGTTACCAACCTGCTTCCTACGGCCAGGCTGATGATTCCTTCCTCCAAGATGTGATCTCTGCGGTCGAGAGGAATATGAAAAGGCATTCCGAAAACCAGATGCGCTTTCTTGAAGGAATCAGTTCCCGCCTCTCCCAGTTGGAGTTATATTGTTACAATCTCGATAAGTCAATTGGAGAAATGCGATCTGATTTAACTCGCGACCATTCCGAGACAGATACAAAGCTCAAAGCGGTCGAGAAACATCTTCAAGAGGTGAGTCGGCCTTGAAATTTCTCCAAGTGCACCATCTCCATGCTAGTAACTTAACCTGAATAATACAGGCTCGTGTTTGTTAATAATCTTGTATTTTCCAATTAACACAACCTCGGGTTGGCGTATTTTAAAGTTCTGCTTTTTTTATTTTTAGTTTAGAGTATCCAATGGCAACAATACCCTTTTCCTATCTCACCCTTATTTTTGTAATCTGTTGGAACCTTAGTTAACAGCAATGTACTTATTTCCTGCTCTTCTTGGCAATCCATGTAACATCATTGTCACTCAACACTTCTTCTGTAGCCATCATTCACTGGAAATAACTTCCATATGTTGGTTCTTTCAACAGGTTCACAGATCTGTCCAGATTCTAAGGGATAAGCAAGAACTTGCCGATACTCAGAAAGAACTAGCTAAACTTCAGCTTGTGCAGAAGGAATCCTCTTCAACAACCCATTCACAGTCTACTGAGGAGAAAAAAGCTTCACCACCACCTGCTTCTGATCCAAAAACGAACGAAAACACCTCTGAAGCACATAACCAACAATTGGCTCTTGCTCTTCCACAGCAGCATCAGCAGCAGATATCTGCTCCCCCGCCCTCTCAATCCCCTCAACAGACTGTGGCACAACAACAACCTCAGACCTATTATCTTCCAACAGGCCAGCCATCTCAGAGCCCATACATGCCTCCCGATTCTCAATATAGATCAAACCAAATGCAAGCGATGCCATCTCAACCAGCTCCAGTGCAAGTAAGTCAGGCACCACCACAGCCTAGCCAGCAGCAATATCATCCTCAGTATCAACAGCAGTGGTCTCAACAGCCGACCCCAATGCAGCACCCCCAAGTGAGGCCGCCACCTTCAAACGCGGTTTACTCTCCCTATCCTCCTCATGGTCAATCATCAACCGCTGCTGCCGCTGCTGCTCCACCACAAGAGACCATGTCGAGCAGCATGCCCATCCCTTCATCTTACTCTACAGTTCCACAGCCTTATGGGTATGGTGGAACGGTGAGGCCAGCTCCTCAGCAGCAGCTTCAACAACCTCAACAAATTAAGGTCCCATTTGGGGGTCAATCGGGTGATGGATTCACAACTACTGGACCACATGGTGCCCTCCCACCTGGGAGTGCATATGTGGTGTATGAAGGTGAAGGGGGTAGGGCTCATTTTTCACAAGGTGGGTACCACCCTCCACCAAACCTCCCTCTCCAGAGTTCTCAGCAGCCAGGTGGCGCAGCACCAGCAGCTCCTATTCCTAACATGATGCCCAGAAACCCTGGGCAGGGCCAGTTTATCCGCAACCATCCCTACAATGAATTGATCGAGAAGTTGGTGAACATGGGTTTCAGAGGGGATCATGTGATGGGCGTGATTCAGAGGATGGAGGAAACTGGGCAGCCCGTGGATTTCAATGCAGTGCTTGACAGGTTAAGTGTGCATTCTTCTGGGAGCTCTCAGAGAGGGTGGTCAGGATGAAAAGAGGTGTGTTGTGTCTCTTCAAGAGTCGGCAGCTGTGGTTGTCAATGTTATGTGTTGAGTTGAATAAATGATGATGAATGGACAAAGTGAGAATGTAAATGTGTATCTACATTAGTAGTTTCTGTGCTAGGGCTACATTTTTTTTTTTTACTGCCAAGTGATGGGTGGAGTTGTTCCCTGTGGTTTTAGGAAGAGGGAACTCCATTTTCTACTCTCGTTAGTGTTGTGTGTTGTCTTCTCTTGTAGGTCGCTTGGATGGGGCGGTTACTGCTTTGCTGCCCTTGAGCGAACCATTGAACATTCGCAATAAAGCTGACTTTGTTGGAAGTTGGATCCATTGTTGCATTTGTGTCTTTGTTTCCTATGCATGTCGTCTGAAACACAGGCAGCAAAACTGAATTCTAATTTACGCAACTCTTTTTCCTTCATAGTAAAACGTATCATATAGCTCAAGGTATCCTTCACATAAAAAGGCGTTTCAGAGGATTGCACTACTTGCCCAGATGCCATCAGATTAAACGATTTTTGACAAGCTTTAACATCACGTACAGTTAAAGAGCAGTAGAAGTAAAATCAAAGTTCTTACCCCGTCGTTGTAGTAAATCCCTCTCAGATGCTGAAGCCAAAATTGGACTCCGAATTTGGAAGTGGCGGAGTTATTTTGATGAACTTTTATAACCATAAAAAATAATGTGTAAATTTTGTAGTACATTTTGCAAATATATTAGTTGATAAAACTTTACGGGTGCGCCTACATTTTACAAACAAGCTACAAGAAAAACAGCATTTGTAGCAACTTCGAGCCTTTTGTTTGAAGCCTTAAAGATATCCAATCTTTCATACAATGCCTTGCCTTTGTAGAAAAATATACTTAATTTAACGTGGTAGAGGCTCGTGGACTCGAATCGCATCCATGCTTCTCAAATTGATCTCCAAAGTAGGCTTCACAAATACGTTCCCAGACTTGGCCATTTTCAGACAGTTTCCCAATTTTGGCATAGCCTTTTGATCAGGTTCAAAAATGGTCTTCCGGACTTCCTATCGAGCTCCCAAGTACTTTAATATGTAGAGGAACACTTCAGCTTCAAAATAAGCCATTAATCTTCAATTTCCATCTAGCAAATTGTAAGATATGAATCTTCAAAGTAGGCACCATGAAACTATTTTTACACTGAAATAACAGATTAGGTCAACCTATTCCGTATGAGGTTGACCGAAAAGTACATATCACCGTAACAAAGTCCAAAACTTTATCTTCATTGTCTGCTCAAATTCTCTAAACTTAGATTTTTAACCTTTCCTCGTTCAAATTCCTGACTTGTACCATGTTTGCTTTCATCTGTAGCTCGGCTCTTCTTCATCCTTGAATTCTCGAGCAGATAGTTGTTTGTAGTTTCAGTGCATCATATCACGTAATATGAATGACCATATGTTGTATACTGGTTTGTTTTCATAAATTTCAGAAATATATAAAAACACATTAATTAAGAATGATGGTTCCCCGTCCGCCTATCCATCCATTGAAAGCAAGGGACTGACTAGGGATGACAATGGGACAGGTTTGCCTAAACCATCCTCATCCCCGTTTTCAAATACCTAAACTCATACCCGCCACATGCCCATACCGAGAAATGTTTTGCAAACCCATCCCCATATTCGTGGGTTTCGGATATCCATGGGTAATACCCTCCCCGTACATACAACATTATTAATCTAAAACTTTACAATAAAATTATTAATTATAACACTAAACGAACCTACTATATCATGAAGTCAACCAAAAAGAGTCATTTTTTCTTAATATTTTTCAAAGAATATGATCCAAAAAATCTATTAATACATAATATAGAGTATAATACTTTTTAAATTAATAATTTATTATGCTCTAACTCACATACATCTAGTAAGTAATAATTAATTAACATAATCTTGTTGACAAGGGAGAAAGTGAAAGAATGAAGGGAGAATTGAGGGGAAATTAAATGAATTAGGTTTTGATTAGGGTGGTAACTCAATTGCATGTCTACTGTTTATTTTCTCGAGTTACATTCATTATCATTGATAAGTTACAATTTCATCCACATATTTTTTATATGTGAAGAAATTCTCTTGGTAGGGCGGGTATGAGAATGAATATGTGACGGGAGAGGCTAAAATCATACTCACTCCATACCCATCAAACATTTTTCGGGTTTTATCCATACCCGTCCCATAATCAGTTAAAGTGGAAATTCCCACGTTAACTGAATCAAGGCGATTGAATACCTGCGATCATGAGTTTGATTGCCATCACTGGAAAGCTAGGATTGACTGGAGAGACTCCCAATTTGCTTTTTGCCTTTCCTTTTGTTTTTGCCCCTTCCTTACTTTTGCACTGCCACCTGTTTCTTTAACTTTCAAAACTCAAAAGCAAGCCCTAATTTCATGAACTGCTTTAGATTGTTTTGCTTTACAGCTTTTTCCATATTATTGGACCGCAACCCCACCCAGGCCAGCCCAGGCTACAAGTCAAGAAGCAACCAAGAAAACTTTTGACCAAAAAAAATACCTCCCGCTTAGAAGTTGAACCGGTTCGTAATAAACCCAAAATGCAGGCAATTGATCAACCCCTCAAAACCACTTTGTACCAATAATTCGTATTGTTAAGAGAAATTCATATAAATTTTAAATCATTTATTAACAATCCTTTTCGAATGAAAGTTGAATTGTACATACCCGAATATCATGTGCTTAACAATGAGAGTTTTCGGGATTCGAATAGAAGAACTATGAGTCACAAAAGGCCTCATACCATATCAAGATGAGTTATACCTCTAACTAGCGGGGCCCCGGCCAGTTGCCCGGAGGAAGGTGAGTTATGATATTTTATAATGTAATAAAGTGTATAACTTATTGTTGTATAATTTTTTTTTAAACACGCGATAAATATAGTAAATTTTAGCAGGAAAGAGGAATGGATGATGCAACGAATCAAAAATCAGCTTTATGAACCAAGTTCGAGTATCTGTTACCTTGTGAAACAGTATTATTTCTGATAATATGATGAGGTGGAGTAAGTTTGGTAGAAACCGAATGCCAGAAAACCGAATAAAAAATCACCTATAAAATACACTATAATTTAATCATTAGGATATCAAATAATCACATATTATATATTTGAAATTATAAAAATTGGACTAATCTAGTTGGTCGAGGTCGAACCATTTAATAACTTTAAAATACATTATATTTTAGCCACTAAGATATAAAATAATAGCATAATATATGTTGTACTAGAGAAAATAACATGTTTTAGGATGGCAAACCCATGATGTTCATTTGTTTTACTTGAGGGCCAAATGTCGTACGGGTCAAGCGCATTCAACTCTTTTATTTTATGCTTAGCGGTTATCCCATTAGAATCCATGCATTAGTTTATTGTTAAAAATTTTCTTTTTAGCAATAAAAAAGGAGTATTGTTTTTGCCCTTTCATATATATCTTACCAACACCGAAAAATAAAAGGGCTTAAAGAAAACCCTATATCCCCTAAAAAAGCTGCTCATTGCTCTCCGACTCATGATTCACTTCTCTCTCTCTCGATCTCAATTATATCGTCGTCGGTAGTCACTTCTCCCCATCCATGTTTTCCTGCCGTTAATTTTAGCTCTGCAAACCTTTTCTCTGCATGTCATCCTCCCCCCGAACCTCAATTTTAACTCCTCCTCTCGGTCTCTGTTTTTCATTTCTTAATCTTCCCTTCTCTTTTCACTTGTTTAAACCCCTCTTTGTATACCTTAGACGTTAGTTTAACGAAGAAGAAGAGAAAGCCACCAATCTTCAATACTACTGTATTGTTATAGTGAAGCGATATTGTGGATTTCTTTGTCACTTATCTGTTAGAGCTTGCGAATGATGGAAAAAGGGGTGGTTGATTACCAAACCTTCTTCATTTGCATGACTGGATTTATTTTCATAGGGAAGGGATTAGGAGATTAGCACACTGAAGAAGGATTGGGGAAATTATTTTGTAAACAATTATGAAGCTCACTTTCTCTAATTATTTCATTTATTCCCGGCGTGGGTGGAGTCCAGATCCAGCATCGGAACAATCCAAGACGCGGTTATGGTGATCGCTATGGAGACACGAAACAGATGCGGTCATGGCTGAAACCTGTTCTGTTTTTGTGGGCCGCAACAATCCCTGGGCCCGTTCAAGTCCGCACGTGTACGGTAAGTTGGCCCGTTCCACAGAGGAAAGAGAAAAAAAAAATTGGCACTCCCTATTATACCCTCCTACAAACGCTCCTGGAGCAGGAAATTTGAAATAGGGAAATGGTTTTTTCCTTCCTGCTATTATATTATGTGTAGATTTTAGTAATTAGAACCCCACTTTTACATCTGGAAGCAAGTGAGCACTAACACAAAACATCATATTATAAAAACTTATCTGCAATCATGAGGTTATTTCACTCAAAAGAAACTATGTTTTATATGTTGAAGATTAGCATTATAGGTTGAATAGTTCAATTCGGCAATGATCTCAGGTCTTGCACATAATTTTGTGTAAAATTGATATGATTGAAGCTATTCCCTATTTTAACACTAATCATAATAGTCTTTGTTTACTGCAAACTAACCATCAAAATATTTCAAATTAGAAAAATGATGATAGTGAAAAGGAGTATTATAACAAAAGCAACAAAAAGTATAGTTATTTATCTTTAATCAACTCAAAAGTCAACCTAGAAGATCAACCAAATGAACTAATGTTAAGAGATCACACATTACTGTCAAATAAACTAAATAACCCACCAGTCAGCTCTCCAAGCAAGAACATTCAATATTTCCATATTTAACCCTCCGAAAATTGCTTTGCGTAACAATATAGAGGAGGAGGTTAGGCGGTTGTCGAGTCTGATGGGAAGGTTTGGAGAGATGGTGATGGTTGAGCCTTTAGTAGGACGGGAGCCCGGGGCACTGTTTATCTTTAATCAACTCAAAAATAAACCTAGAAGATCAACCAAATGAACTGATGTTAAGAGATTACACATTAGTGTCAAATAAACTAAATAACCCACCAGTCAGCTCTCCAAGCAAGAACATTCAATCTTTCCATATTTAACACTCCAAAAATTTCTTTGCGTAACAATATAGGTGGATGAGGTTAGGCGGTTGTCGAGCCCAGTGGGAAGGTTCGGAGAGATGGCGATGATTGAGCTTTTAGTACGTAGGTCGGGACACCATTTAGACATATTTACATTAGTTGCCGCTTTTCAATCCGCATTCGACAAATCAATATCACTCAACATTTCCATGTTTACCCATATCTTAAAGACACATGTTAGACATATTCACTCAAAACTTCTATGTTCAAAAACATTGTTGCTT